GAGGATTAAGCATTTTCTTGTTCATTCTTCATTACTCTTAACAACGAACATACTTATAGATCTATCTTCTGTAGAAAGTCTTATATTATCGTTAGATAGACTTTGTGGTCCCATTTATTTTAACGCCTTTGTTCCATTTGTCAATCTGAGCTTTTTTTTGGTTTAGTCAGATTCAATCAAATGGTGACTTTCTGATTGCATGTTGTTCATGTGTCATATAAATTATTGTTTGGGACAACTGACCTGGAATTTTTCCCTTTTTGGCACCGAATTATTACTAAACGAGATGTCAATTTAATATGGATAGAAACATTTTGCTGATTAATTTAGGCACTTCGTTTTGTACTCAATATCAGGACTCAATCAGTTGCCTATTAATGATATTTATCAATCTTTTTTTCATAGCTCAGATATATTGGGCTATCTTAGTACACTGGTTGTTGGCCCTATGCAGGTACTTATGTTAACTAATAAATCGCAGTGTGTTGAGGACGTGTAAATCAGCCTTGGAAATAATTTGTATCTGCTTTTTTTGTTATCCTGCTATTGTCATTAGGACATCTTATATTTGCTACATTTCAAAACGTATTTCCCTTTCATCGATCTTGTGTATGCTTTAAAAATATAATCTCTTATGCTGACTAGCATTTCGGCATTTCACTTATTCTTTCGCCAAATGGACCCAATAATGGGCAATCTAATTACATTTTAGTCCAGTCATCCACTGTAATTTGCTAATATTTCAAACAGTCATCGGTCATCATCATCGGCCCAAAGTTTTCTCTTTCGTGGAATAACTTTGGCATTACACTCGTAATAGTGTTGTTGCACATGTTTTAATCCCACTATCATCGAGTCAATTTTGTTTTCAGTGAAAAAGTAAGTCATTTTTAGCCTTATGTCAGCATTTTTTAAGTTTTTCCTACTTTAGGATTACATTTTTAAGAATGAAATCTAAATACATTCATTCTTTCCTGTCTTCCTTGTTCTCGGTTGAAATTCAGGCTTATACATTTTTCAAAATTGACTTGCACTTGAGCCTCCTTTCTATTTATTTAAATTGTCTTAGGTATCACATTTTAAGTTTGAATATTCCATTCTTTTCGTTACTTTTTCATAGGTCACTGAGTTTTTATTTTATGAAATTTATTTAATGCATTCTCTAATCAATAGCATCCATGCCGCCTACGAGGAATTCATCGACCTTTGTCAGACTGTGAACACGGAAGCTGCCAAGAAAGCTCACAGGCAGCGTCAACTGCAACTGCATCAACAACAATTACAGCAGCAGTCACAACCCTCAACTCAGGCGCAAGCCTCGGGTATGGCTTCAGTCTTTTCGGAGCAATTAATTTCTACTGCCTATCACCAATATGCAACACCAAGCAGTCTGCATGGTCTCTCTGGAATGCCATATTCAACACCTGATCTGCTCAACGGGCATATACAACACTGTAAGAGGACATTTCATTGCGCTGTTTCCTTTATGTAACTTGTCCTAAAATTAAATGCTTAATAAACTTATAAGAGCTTAGGTACTTATTTATAGTAATATCGGTGACCAATCGTTGTTGTGGACAAGTTTATTTTACAGATAAATTGTTAAAAGAATTTTCATTCTCAAATGTTCTTTTTTGTCACAAATTACTTGCACATGTGGATCTTCATTAGTAAATACGTCTTTAAGATTTTATGCCATCCGTAAATATTTTTTGGCAACCAGTTCCCTCTTGACTACTGTGCTAGGTCCCTTCCTTCGCTAATATTTCTTATGAGATGTTGCTAGTATTTTGTTTTCACTTTCAAACTCTTTTTACCTCCATTCAGCCGCTTACTATCGCATTCCTCCTAGTGCTGGCCGTCCTTCAAAACCCGGTCGTTTGACTATGGACCGCGACCTTCTGGCTGCTGCGGCCACGGTTGGCACTCCAGCTCCGGCGCCGACAAGTGCGGCCCTCTACCCAGGCACTGCAGGTGGCTGGGAACCGATGGCCGTTGCCCAGGGTGACACTAGCCAGCTACCGCCTCCATCGATTCTCGTGAACCCACCAATTCTTATTCCCCCTCCGCCGCCTGTTATCGGGGTAAATCTAGTATATCATATTAACAATAGTTTGGTGACTATTTGGTCCATCTTAGCATGCAGACGCCACAGAGCATTTGAATTCCTTAAGCAGTTTTAGTATGACTTTCATTTTATCCTCTGCAGTCCAGACTTAAGCTATCATATTTATTCTCGTATATTTGAGCTTCATTGGGCCTCGTCAAGCCCCTAGCGCTCTTTCTTCTTGGTCTTTATTTTATATCTACACATTTATATCAGGATGCATTTTTGATTGTTGCTCTGAATAATAATTTTGAATCTTCTTCAATCATCCTAACTTATAATTTGAGAATTCTTTCCTCCACATGAATTAGGCAAAATGTATTACGTTAAATATACGTAGTCTCGTGACTAGTCTGCACACCTGGTTTAGGAAATCGAAGCTTATGTCATTTCTTTAGGGCAACTGGGCTCTAGTACCTTTATTAATGATATTTGCTTAATAACTAAACGCTTGTATCTTTAGATATTTGATTACTATTCATATTTATGCATTATATGCTTAACACTTCTTTAATTATTCCTTTTTTTCCTTCAGCCTGATGGTAACATTAGTGTCGTGCCTACTGCCACGTGGCAGGCTAGCGTTGATTCATACGCTTATTACTACAGTGGTTCAGGTGCCCTTCCCTCAGCCACAGCCAACGTTGGTACTGCAGCTCAACCTAATTCGGTAACCGTTCCTACTGGCGTCCCTGGTGCGACTGTTGTTGCTGCAGCAGCATTAGTTTCTGGAGTGCCCGGAGCTCCTACTAACAACCTTCCAATTGACTTTGCCAGTCTGCCTCCTCCACCCCCCGCTCCCCCTCTTAGCCTGACGCCCTCAATCCCTATTTTGGTGACTGCCGGTGGCACTGTGGTACCTACAGCAGTGCCGCCTCCACCTATCTCGTTGCTTCCTTCGGTTTCTGGTAATGAGTAGAGCCACAGTTTGTGCCGGACTCTTCAACCCGAGTGGGCTGGTGCCCTTTCCGTAACTTTGTTAAACGACTGACATTATTTGTATGGTCGAATTAGAAGCTCAAAAGCAGTGCTCAAGTTAAATGAAATTATCTATCTCCGTATTGACCTCATGTTCCGATCCCCTTCTGTGCTCTATAACGATATCCTCTTACACGATCTACCGAAATTTTAAGATTCATTCTTTGCTCATCTTCATATATTCACATCCCCACCGCACTGGCTTGTATATCTGTTGTATTCTTTTATCTATCAAACATCTAATGTCCTATTGTCCCTTTCCCTCCTTTGATACCACTGTTTCATTATCCTCAAAATATACACGTTTTTACCGAAGACTTATTCCATATTAAATCGATGAGCGGAACTTTTCTTCTAATCTATTTTATGATAGTCAAAATTGCTTTGGACTCTGGGGCTTAATTAGTTGTGAAATTACAATTTTCACCATATAATTTTTCATTGATCTAGTGAATCATCTGATATATAGGCTGATCTTCGACCAAATTCCAAGATTTGTTTCTAAATTATTTATTGTCCAATATGATATTTTGAATTTGCTCATTTCCAGATAAGGATGGTTCTGTCAATAATTAATTTGGTTAAAAGTAGTACTCTTTCCACGACCGTTTTTACTAATGACAACTACACGCTCACTTGTTTCTGTCCAGGCTTGTTCCTTAATGATAAGTTAGGTGTCTGGTTTAGAATGGGGTTCACGCCAAATACGCTTATTCATCCTGGATGAATCAGTCCTTTACTGTGTAGCTGGAGTGGATATGGGATAACGGGTCCACCTACGTTCTTTTATCTAGGCCTGGAATGCTCTTACTGTTACGTTTCGCTTTCGTGGATTGAATTTACAAAGTGGTCGCTTCGTACTAAAGGCCAATATTCGACCGCGCTCAGTTGAGGTAGACGTAAAAGAGCGAAGTAGTGTGACAAAAAGTGATAAACCTGTCAAAATCTTCATTGGATATTACCAAATAGGAAGCTCTCTAAAGGTTTCGACTTTGCGTTGTCAAACTGTAATAATGGTAAATTTTACCGACAGTTTGCCTGAAGAAGCTCGGGATGATATCGAGTTGCAGTTTGTCCCTTTAATTGAAAGCCATGTAGAGGTAACGCAATTGAGTAATGGAGTAAATGGCATCGCTAAAAAACTAAGAGACCAGATATGTACCAAGAAAATTTAGGCTTCGAGGAATCCTTTGTTGAGCTTGATTCCATCCCGAGTGAGTGTTGGGTGAAGAGATTCTAAGGTCGATCCCACCAGAATACGACGGCGGATTCTTATTGAACATTATCCATTCTTGTTGAGGCTTAACACTTAAGAGACGGAAAAAATATTATTAAAGACATACAAGGGAGGAGAAGTGGTCGTGGGTAAGGTTAGTTATGTAAATGTCATTCCAACACAAGAATATCATTAAAGACCTCAGAAGCCCTCAAGTCTAGATTAATGAGTCCCCTGCAACATTGTGTAACACGGGAAATTAAGGTAGTGGAAAAGAAGACGAGACGCCAGTCCCCAAATGTATAAGATCTGGCCAAGAGACATAAGGAAGGAATCACATTTAGAATTATTGTTAATAATAATGGTAGCGCGAAGCATGAAATATCACGATATATGTCAGCAAATAAAGAAAATCTCCGAGTCATGGCAGTTTTCAATAAAGAACCCTTATAAATTCCTTTAGTTAGTCAATGAGCAGAGGACAAAAAGCGTAGATTTGCTTGTTACTTTTGATGTAGGATCGATGTGTACTAACATCCATGTGAGCAGGCCTAACCAGGCTCTACAATCAACATTGGATAAACACCTAGAGGCTTTGATAACTACAAATTTAGGTAATGAGACAATAATGACCCCTTTACAAATTCTCCCTGATTTCCGATCAAGTTGTGAAACCAAGACCAAGCCAATACTATAAGGGTAAGGAAGACGGCGACCAGACACATAATCTTTGTCTTCATATCTTTAATGTACATCGTTTATTTGCAATGGTAGACTGTACTACCAAACATGAGGCTTGGCTATGGGAGTGTGTTTGTCCCCAGCTTTAGCAAATAACTATATGACCATAGTAAAAAGTCGCCTAATTCAAGAAGCGCGTTTACTTCATAAATTATTGGTTTGGCACATGGATGAATACTTTGTCGTATGGCAACACGGAGAATAAAGCCTCAAGGAATTCCTAACATTTACGAATGGAATCGATCGGAGTATCAAATTCACCACGATAGTCGTCTATCTTGTATATTTACCTACCCCTTTTATGTATATAAAACCCATAAATTTGGGAGCTAAAGGGATTAATAATAATTTTATTTGATAATGATTACCAATTAGATTTAATTGATAATTCCTTTAAAGTACTAGCGAATGGGATAGATACAAGCATCTATTTGGGGTAAGATAAGCAGCTGGACCACTCGACTAGGGTCCTGAGGCTATAATCGTGTCAGCTCTTGAAAGGGTTAGATGAATTACTGAATTTGGACATCAAGACAATGTATGAGTAGAAAATAACACTTTCCCCAGTAATTCCATCTTTTTCCTCACTCCAAATCGAGCTGTTATAATCTATTGTGTTCATCAGGAAGGGTCTATGTGAGGGGGACCTGCCGACTCATAGATAAGAGGTTATCAGATCCTAAAGCAGCCTGCGAAAGTTTATGGGTCCAAAAGTCAGAACTGGCCGAACATAGCCCACAAAAGGCATCAGATAGACTGGTCCAAAGCCAAACGCCTAGTTGGTTAAAGAGACAATGCCAGTAAGCTGACGATCAAGAATCTATAGAAATCAACAAATTAGCTAAAACAATGAATAGAAATAATGAGTGTAGGAAATTAAATGGAAACGATATGTGGATGTTGGATAGGATTAATGCAGAGAAAGTAAGAGAGAGGGAAAAAGAAATACAGCCGAA